TCTAATTAAAGCTGATTCAGTCTACAGAGATCATTATCTTGAGCAACTGAATTGTAATGAAGAACTGACTGACAAGAGATATCTAGAGGTCTTCAGATAAATCCCTGGATCAAATTGTAATGTTATTTTACTATCCAGCCTGAATATATGACTAATACACCCAATATATGAAGCCCATGACTTATGCTGTACAATCAGTATCAAGGGATAATTCCACTTGCTGCACCAGGTACTGAAAAGAAATTCCACTTTCCTAACACTGCCCCTAAAAATCAGCCAAAAGAATCCTTTAATTCATCAATTTCCTTACAAAAACTTGACAACAAAGCCAACTAAATAAGGGGGCTCTGCTACTCCTTCTCCTCCTCTCCCTAAAGCCTGTCAAATTGAGGCCTGTCATGCCTCCAACAGCTGCCCATTGAGCAGGAGCCAAACAGACACTTCAAGATGGAGAGGTGAGATGAGGCCCACACCTAAGGCCTGGATCAAGGACTGAGCAGAATGTCACCATGTTGCCAGCACTGTGACCCAGCCTGCCCTGCTGTCTTTTCCCAGTGACTTATAAACACAGTAAACTACAGTCATGATACAGCAGAATGCCAGAAGCAAGAAGCTTACAGAAAAGACAATCAGAGGCCTAACTAAAGCTCTGCTTTGGAAAAAACTGTCAGTTTTCCCTGCTAGCCCTGCCTGAGGCTGTAGTTGAGGCCAAGTGTTCACAGTACCAAGCAACAAAAGCAGCCTATCAACCTAAGGGCTATGTTTACTATCAAGACATTAAACCTGCTCCTCTATCATTACATTTCAGACTAGCTTTGGATTTGTATGTGGTAACACAGAGTTCAAACACTACACTACAGACAGGTTGGCTGCCAACTGCTCTTGCTTAACACAGTAAGAATACAACAATGAAAAAAGCAAAATTTCATAGAATTAATTACAATTTGTCCTTAACTACCACCAGCAATGACCAATGCCCTAGGTCTGCAGCACCGAAGGACAACTGTTAGACACAAGTCTCATATTTAAATCCACTGGAATAGACTGACTAAAATCTTCATATATCACTTGGAAATACTACCCAAAAAAGAGACTCATGACTTTTCACTTGTCTCAGGTGTGGAAAAAACCCAAGTATGTGTATACTTGGCAGCTTCAAAATATACCTCTAACTATCCAGGCTGTGTCAGCTTATGCATACCAAAATGTGGCTTACACAACTACATTCTATTTATTAAATTTGCAGTGCTTGCCTTAATACATATGCTAGCACATGTTGTCCCAGCTAAAAAAGGGTGAATTGCAATGCTGATAAAAAGTGAAAGCAGATGCAGCCAACGTATTAACCCAACTCAAGCCAAAATAAACAAAAGTTCTAAGACAAGTTGAGCAGACACCTGAGGACAAACCCTGGTAGCAGCCAGTTTGGTTAGAAATTCTGAAATGGATTTATAGTAGTTCGTCTTGCAGACTCTGGAACACTAGCAAAAATAAACCCAAAAGTCTAAAGACAGTTAATGCATCCTTGAAAGCATCTGTGTTTGGAGTAGGGTAGAGAAACCACCTAAGCACAGAGCTGCCATTCAAAATTTCCATTGCTAAGTCTCTCTTGATAGGTACTGAGAGAAAGCAATGGATGCAAACAGTACAGTGAGGCCTAAACATTAGTAATGCAATTTTTTGTAAAGGACTGTAC